AGCAAAAGAACTACTGTTACCAGACTACAATGGACTACTTGTAAAATACAATATATTTATGGCAGCAATCATATCCAACAATATTGAAAAGGAAAAAAAAAAAAACACAAGCTATATTCCCCTAAGCAACTGTTTAAATCTATCAAAAAATAAAGGTACCTAAAATGATAAAATCCATTCATACCCACATGGAAAAGAAATACATTTGAAATATATTTTTAAAATATTTTCCCCAAATATATTGACATATATTTGAAATACAACAATTTTGGCCATATTCAATATATATTTATTTCAGGTACTTACAGTTGTGTCCAAAATTATTCAACCCCCACTGAAATTGAGTGTTTTGGCCAGTTTGACATTGCTTTTGATCATTCAGTCATCTTGCTTACATTTACATTAAAGAGGCACTTGTAGGTCAGACAAATATAACATAACAGTTATAATGAAATAACCACAAATGTCTTTTCTGTGCTCACAGCATTATCAGTTTTATTCAACCCCCAAGTGACATTCAATCTTAGTACTTAGTACAGCATCCTTTTACAGTTATAACAGCTTTTAAACGTGAAGCATAGCTTGACACAAGTGTCTTGCAGCGATCTACGGGTATCTTCGCCCATTCTTCATGGGCAAAGGCCTCCAGTTCAGTCACATTCTTAGGCTTGCGCACTGCAACTGCTTTCTTTAAGTCCCACCAGAGGTTCTCAATCGGATTTAAGTCTGGTGACTGCGATGGCCACTCCAAAATGTTCCAGCCTTTCCTCTGCAACCATGCTCTAGTGGACTTGGAGGTATGCTTGGGATCATTGTCCTGTTGAAAGGTCCAACGTCTCCCAAGCCTCAGGTGTGTGACGGACTGCATCACGTTTCCATCCAATATCTCCTGGTACTGAAGAGAATTCATGGTACCTTGCACACGCTGAAGCTTCCCTGTACCTGCAGAAGCAAAACAGCCCCAAAGCATGATTGACCCTCCACCATGCTTCACAGTAGGCAAGGTGTTCTTTTCATCATAGGCCTTGTTCTTCCTCCTCCAAACATAGCGTTGATCCATGGGCCCAAACAGTTCTAATTTTGTTTCATCAGTCCACAGAACACTATCCCACAACTTTTGTGGTTTGTCCACATGGCTTTTGGCATACTGCAGTCGACTCTTCTTATTCTTTGGAGACAGCAAGGGGGTACGCCTGGGAGTTCTGGCACGGAGGCCTTCATTACGCAGTGTGCGTCTTATTGTCTGGGCTGAAACTTCTGTACCCACATCTGACAAATCTTTTCTCAGTTCCTCAGCAGTCACACGGGGACTTCTCTCCACTCTACGCTTCAGGTAGCGCACAGCAGTCGAAGTCAGCATCTTCTTTCTGCCACGACCAGGTAGCGTTTCAACAGTGCCCTTTGCCTTGAATTTGCGAATGATGCTTCCTAAGGTGTCTCTTGGTATGTTTAACATCTTTGCAATCTTCTTATAGCCATTGCCCTTCCTGTGAAGAGAAATCACCTCTTCTCTTGTCTTCCTGGACCATTCTCTTGCCTTCACCATGTTTGTAACCACACCAGTAAATGTCTAGAAGGAGCTGAGTATCACAGTCATTTTAAAGCTGCCTAATTGGTGCTTATTATGCTTGATTGCTGCTCGGTGACATCCACAGGTGTTTTCAATACCTGATGGAAAGCACCTGTATGAACCTCTGTTCTTCAGAGTGGTAGTCTTTAAGGGGTTGAATAATTGTGGCAATGAAGAAACCACATAAGAACCATTTACTACTGTATTACATAAACAATTGATGTCATTTTAGTTGCATTTGGGTAGTTACAACGTCCTTGTAGGATTTGATTCTGAATACAATTCCAAATGTACACTATAGTCCCTAAACCCCTTTACAGCATTGGGGGTTGAATAATTTTGGACACAACTGTATATAGCTCTGTCAATTTACGCAGCACTTTAAATATAATGTACATTCACATCAGTCCCTAACCCTCAAGGGGTGTACAATCTAAGGTCCCTAACTCACATTCATACATACTAGGGCCAATTTGGACAGGAATCAATTTACCTACCAGCATGTCCTTGAAATGTGGGAGGAAACCCACACAAGCACAGGGAGAACATGCAAACTCCATGCAGGAGGTGCCATGGTCGGGAATCAAACTTATGACCCATTTACTGCAAGACAGACGTGCTAACCACTGAGCCACTGTGATATATATATATGGAGATATATATATCTATATATAGATATATCTATATCTATATATCTATATATATATATTGCATTTTTTATATATTACAACATATATGAAAAATATTTTTAAAAAAACATATTTTTTCAAATATATTTTTTTAACATATAAAAAGGTAATTTTAACATATATTTTTACGTATATTTGTAAATGCATTTCAAAAATGTAGATTAAATGTAATTTTAAAGACATACAGTATATTTGAAAATATATTTTTAAAAATCTTTTTCAGATATTTTGTAATATATGAAAGCGCATTTCAACATACACTGTGTATATATATATATATATATATATATATATATATATATATATATATTATATATATATATTTGAAGAAGAAAATTTTTCAAATATATTTTTCTTCCATGTGGGTATATTCCTTTTGTAGACCCACACACACAGCAAGAGGACTCCTTTAGAATCATATACAGTATTTATAAAGCTATCGACCATATTCTGCATCTATTGCATGTAATTAGAATAAAACAGCTGGTCAGGGGATATACCTTGTGAGGCTTCTTTATTCTTTTAATTTTTTTCACTAATTTGGATACAATTGCTGCTACAGACATATTTTCTGCCTACAGGGGGAGGTTTAGGCTTCTTTTTCATATTTCTCAGGTTCTATTTAACATAATTTTTTCCAGTATATAGTAAAAGCAGGTGTAAAATAGCAACCCAAAAATTATAAATAAAAAAATTGCCCCAAACTTTAGTTTCCTTTTAATAATACAATATTTGTAGTAACTTTATTATACAACATAGTATAACAGTGGTGTGCCTACGTACTACAGTATAAGACTGTGCCATTTTTAGATTATATATTGTTAGTTCATCTCTGTCAAATTTAATTCCAAACTTCTGAACAAGTTGCAAAATCTGTTTTATTAACAAGAATTGATTTTCTTTGAATAAGTACTAAAATGTCTGTCAATACAGGTGACAGAATTGGCAACATCATTGAGTGGCAACAGAATCAATAACCTCACGTAATTATTCCTGGCCACAAAATCCCTTTTGATTTTGAGTGTGCTGTCGCTATGGTAGCAAAACCGATTTTGTGAAATTGCTGCACATGGGCAAAATCCATTTTGAAGGAAGTTTAGAGTGTGGGATTTAATGTATAAATGAGCTTATTTAACTGGACTCATATTAACCTCTCAATTATCTAGGTTTTCATGCACCAGTTTTGTTATAATGGTATTTCACATATACTTGTTTCCCACATATAAACGTTATATATTTGGCATCTATATTTTTATGTTTCATGTAGTTGCAGTCAAGATATGTTGCAATGAGAAAGTAGGAAAGCTGCCATTGATAAGCTCCCTTTCTGAAAACTCAGATCTAATGGTTGTCAGGGTCAGTGTCTATAGAGGATTGTACCGATAGACAGTCAGCTAATGAGCATTTTCACAAGAAGATCAGCAGTTGCAGAACCTACATTTCTCAGTACAGGTTACTGTAAAGTGGTTGTAAAGGGTCAAGGTTTTTTACCTTCATGCATTCTATATTTTTTGGACTTTTTGCTATTAAACATGTCCAGTGAAAAAATGTAATACAAAATGTATACTGCTACATGTCTTTGCTAAACAAAACCCCAATACGTGCAAATTAATTGGTTTATGTGAAAGTTATAGCGTTTACAAATGGCGGTATATAAACTGGGATTTTTAATTTTTTTTTACTAGTAATGGCGGCGATCAGCTACTTATAGTGGGACTGCAGTGGGCATTCTGACACTGGGGAGAACTGACTTGGTGTCACTGACATCCTCAATGACACTAAATGTGCTAAAAAAAAAAAAGCACTGACACTGTACTATTGGCACTGGGCAGGAAAGAGTTAACATGAGGGGTGACCAAAGGGTTAACTGTGTGCTGTGTACTGTTTTACTATAAGGTGAATACTTAAATAGTGGGGTCTTGTGAGCTACTATGGTGTGAGAAAAGTTAACTTAATGTGTTAAATTAATATTGTGAATTTTTTACCCAATGAAATAAAATAAAATAAAAAATTAAATGGAAATAGTGGGTCGCCTACACTCTACACATACTCATACCAATGAGTCATAAAAAAAAATCAAATTTTTACAAAACAGTGTTGCGCTCCACTGACAATCAAAATAAGTGATAAAATGAGATACCGTCCAAAACAAATTATATGTGAAATTACAATCGCACTTTTGCTACAAAAAATGTCCGTATTCAATCCGTGACTTTCATAATCCTTCTGGTGATGTGACAAAGATGATTTGCATGCAATCCACCAATAATAAATTGTGCACCTTCACCTGCTGTGCTCTCACCTGGTATATATGACCAAACCGTAAAGTGAGGTCATATAAGGCTAGGTTCACATCTGTGCGGGTGGTGCCGCTGCAGATCCGCATGAAAATCCATACAGCCGCACCACCCACACAGAGAAATGCGGACCCGCGGGCTGGTGCCATTAGTTCTAGTTTCCTGTTCAGTCTGCGTTTTCCAAAGAAGTGTAGGGACTTCTTCCCTGCGTGTCATGGACACCGGAGTCCATTCAAATGAATGGGCTCTCGTGCCCATGCAAAACGCCCGCACGGCCGCATATATGTGAACCAGGGCTAAGGCTTGTGTCCCTTTAATTGGACTTAGAGCTGGATGGAAATATCACTCTTCACAGTTAGGGATCCCCTCACTTCCTTAGGACTCTTCCTTTATAGGTATATGTACCATAAAGAGTAATAAAGAACATAGTGCCTTATCTTCTTTTTAAAACAAAGCTGGATATGTGTATGGAATAGCTTTGTTGTACATCGAAGAATACTTTGTATATGGACTGACAATGGGAAGTACAAGAGCACCGATGCCTGCAGAGACAGTTAAGACCGGTTCTTTGTGCCAAGCATTTTTCAGGAATGTCCCAACTTAAGGACAGAAAACTTGTCTCCTTGACAAACACTCACTAAAAAGTCCTGCCATCTTGCTTTCGACCTGGTCCAGGAAGTGAAATGGGGTGCCAAGCTGCCGCTCAAGCTCGGCGATTCTGCGTATACAAACTACATGTCCCGACAGGCAGTTCGGGACATGTAGTGTGAGCCTGCACTAAATGTGGTATGTCATGAAAAGAACGAGAGCTATTATTTTAACATTTTACAGTAAACCCCATTTAAAACAGGCAATTGTGTGAATATTCAAAGGAAACTTGCATTGATAAAACATGTCAGCATTTTCCAAAGAGAATTCACCAGTGGAACCTACTTTCTTTGTTGTCATTGTAACTTAAAGCGGAGCTCCAGTCCCCCAATGCATTTTTGGTAAAAGCAGATCCAGGATGACCTTTCAAATAGCATTAACAATTGGAATAATTCAATAGTATAAGCATTGTAATTACTTGGTAATTAGTAAAAAATTTACCATGATCTCGGAAGCTGGCAGGCGCCATGATGGCTGTGAGTATCTGAAGCCCGCAGGTATTTATTTTCCGGAATCGGTGCTGCTGGCTATCCCAGCATGCACCACTCGTTCTTGCACCTGTGCAAGAACAGACACTGCTCGGCGCGATGCATCCTGCGCATAGAGCACAGCGTAGGACGCAGCAGGATGCAGCATCCATGCCTTCCTGTAATCTGGACTCTGGTAAAATGGCACGAAACACCTCTCATTCACGTCTTCTGGTTTCCAAGTCCCTTGATTACAGGAAACCAAAGGAATCTTGGGATACAGGAAATGACATCCCAGGAGACCTTGCAAATCGCCTTACGACGTCATCGCCTAGGCGGCAGGGACCAGAGCTGCAGGCTTGCAGTAGATTTAAAGGTATGTATATTAAAAAAAAATATACAACTTGTTCTTTATTTCACAGGGACAACATAATCAGGTAAAGTATGAAAACTAGGTGGAACTCCGCTTTAAAGTACAACTAAAGGCAAAACTTTTAGTTTTGGATAGAGAGGGACTAGAACAGCTGTCAGTTTTTATTGCTGTCTATGATTCGGTTAGGAAGATTTACCTTCTCTATTTGTCCTGTTTGCCATTATCACTGAGAGTGAAAGTAAAAAGAAAGCACAAATTTTGGGTTGTCACAGAACAAGAATAGTTCTGGTGATCCTGGTGACAAGAGATGCTCCTATTTGGTGGCATTTTATCTCATTTCCTGTTTTAGCTATGGAACAGGAAGTAAAGGAAAATTTCCTCAGTGGGACAAGGATGATAAAAATTTAATAAACTGACAGAGGTTATAACCCTCCTTTACTCTATCTAAAACAAAAAAAAATTGCCTTCAGTTGTATGTTAATACTTAGAGATGTTGATGAAAGTATGCAAACTAGAAGTTTTGTTTTTCCCTTGAATTTACTAGCTGTGTTCTTTTACAGGTCAGTGACTTTCATGTAAATATTAAGACCAGAGGCTGCCTTTGGAATTTTCAAAAGGCAATGGCTTTATTTCTCTTGTGGCAGATTTCCTTTAATAGAAGTTTCCATTTTTTAATGTCAAGGCCAAGGGAGAAAAAATGTAACATACACCATATTGACAAACGTATTGGGACGCCTGCCTTTCCACGCACATGAACTTTAATGGCATCCCAGTCTTAGTCCATAGGGTTCAATATTGAGTTGGCCCACCCTTTGCAGCTGTAACAGCTTCACCTCTTCTGGGAAGGCTGTCCACAAGGTTTAGGAGTGTGTCTATGGGAATGTTTGACCATTCTTCCAGAAGCGCATTTGTGAGGTCAGGCACTGATGTCAGACCAGAATGCCTGGCTCACAGTCTCCGCTCCAATTCATGCCAAAGGTGTTCTATTGGGTTGAGATCAGGACTCTGTGTAGGCCAGTCAAGTTCCTCCACCCCAAACTCTCACATCCATGTCTTTATGGACCTTGCTTTGTGCACTGGTGAGCAGTCATGTTGGAACAGGAAAGGGCCATCCACAAACTGTTCCCAGAAAGCTGGGAACATGAAATTGTCCAAAATGTCTTGGTATGCTGATGCCTTAAGAGTTCCCTTCACTGGAACTAAGGGGCCAAGCACAACCCCTGAAAAACAAGGGTCCAGTGGTGGCATGCTTTACACTACTGCATCTGACGCTTTGCATTGCACTTGGTGATGTAAGGCTTGGATGCAGCTGCTCGGCCATGGAAACCCATTCAGTGAAGATCTCTACGCACTGTTGTTGTTCTAATCTGAAGGCCACATGAAGTTTGGAGGTCTTTAGCTACTGACTCTGCAGACAGTTGGTAACTTCTGCTCACTGTACGCTTCAGCATGCACTGACCCCGCTCTGTCTTTTTACGTGGCCTACCACTTTGTGGCTGAGTTGCTAAAGTTCCCAGTTGCTTCCATTTTGTTATACCGCTAACAGTTGACCGTGGAATATTTAGTAGCAAGGAAATTTCACAGATGGACTTATTGCATAGGTGGCAACCTATCAAGGTATGAATTCACTGAGCTCCCGAGAGCGACCCAATCTTTCAAAAATGTTTGTAGAAGCAGTCTGCATGCTTAGGTGCTTGATTTTATACACCTGTGGCCATGGAGGTAATTGGAACACCTGAATCCAATGATTTGGAGGGGTGTCCCAATACTTTTGGCAATATAGTGTATGTGGCATCTCTTAGATGCCAACACCATCCACTAGGATCTAGGTGAGGACTTCATCTCATGGGTTCAGTATGCATGTTATCAACCATCAGCCAAAAATAATGGGGGGGTTGGGAGCACATGTATTTATGGAGTGCTGTTTATAAGCAGCATTTCAGAAAACACATTTGGGCAGCCAGTGCACCCATGAATGGCTTTAATTAACCACTTAAGGACCAGGCCTTTTTTCTGACACTCTTTGTTTACAAGTAAAAATCTGTAATTTGTGCTGAAAATTACTTAGAACCCCCAAACATTATATTAATTTTTTTTCGCAGAGGTCCTAGAGAATTAAATGATGGTCATTGCAATTTTTCATGTCGCAAAAAAATACACTTTAATGAATTTTAAAAAACACTGCATATACCCCATTTTTTTTGTAAAATATAAATGATGATGTCGAGTATACCAAGTAAATAGATAGCTAATGTGCTGCTTTAAAGATTTCTACAAGTTATCAGCTTAAGGTTACAGAGGAGATCAAGTGTTAGAATTATTGTTCTTGCTCTGAGGTTTGCGGCAACACCTCACGTGTGGTGCGAACACTGTTTACATAAGTGGGCGTGACCTACGTATGCATTCACCACTGCGCGCGAGCATGGCCATGGCCAGAACGACTAGGAGAACCACGCAGGACTCAGCTGCAACACCACCCGGATTCACTTCATCATGACATGCCTTATACTTACCTACACTTGTGAGTTCTTTACTTAATAAATTGTTGATTTTAACTAACATCTACACTTAGAGTGGTGCCACTGTGTCTTCTCTCGTCCCACATATTATGCCCTGCTCTCACATAATGTGTCATTCTCCCACGTAATGTGCCCTGCTTCCACGTAATATGCCCTACTCCCATGTAATGTGCCCTGCTCCCATGTAATGTGCCCTGTACTCCCTCCCATGTAATGTGCCCCTGCTCCCATGTAATGTGCCCTGCTCCCCCTTGCCATCAGTGTACACTGTTTATCTCACATTGGAGCCAGAATTGAGCATCTCTTCAGAACAAAAGCAAGCACAAGTTGTACATTAAATAGGTACATTTTAATATTGATTGCATTATTTAATGTTATTTCTAAAAATAATTGTTCTAAAAACAGCTCACTGACCATAACAATGTTCCATGAGCTGTAGATGTGAACATTATTTCAGGGGTTCCCTGAGATTTAAAACTTTTTGCCAGGGGTTCCTCCACAGTAAAAAGGTTGAGAAAACCCTGTCTTAAAGGATAAATTCACCTTTTGGAGCATGTTACTGTCATCACTGTCCAAATCTTGTAGACTTCACCTTACAACATCTCCAAGATACGCCCATTTTTAACCTCGGAAACTAGTAAGCAACTTATTCACTCCCTTGTTATCTCTCGCCTTGACTATTGTAACTCCCTCCTCATTGGCCTACCTCATCGCAGGCAATCCCCTCTTCAGTCTATCATGAATGATGCTGCCAGACTCATCCACCTTACTAACCATTCTGTATCTGCCACCCCTCTCTGCCAGTCCCTCCACTGGCTTCCCATTGCCCAACGAAAAAAATTAAAAACATTAACAATAACATATAAAGCCATTTATAACTCTGCCCCAAATCACATCACCAATCTTGTCTCCAAATATCACCCAAACCGTCCTCTCTGCTCCTCACACGACCTCCTGCTCTCTAGCTCCCTTGTCTCCTCCTCCCATGCTTATCTCCAGGACTTCTCCAGAGCTTCCCCATCCTCTGGAACTCTCTACCCCAATCTATCAGACTATCGTCTACTGTGCTCACTTTTAGGCCATATATGAAAACCTATCTCTTCAGGGAAGCATATCCTGCCCTCGGCTAATAATGGAATCTTCTATTCCACCTACCAGTCCATCCCCCACAGTTACTACCTTTTGTACCACTAGCCCCTCCCTCTTAGATTGTAAGCTCCAAGGAGCTGGGACCTCCTAACCCTCTTGTATTGAACTGTATTGTTGCTGTATTGTCTCCCTTTATATTGTAAAGTGCTGAGCAAACTGTTGGCGCTATATAAATCCTGTATAATAATAATAATGTTACATGTTACAAACTTATTTATGGTGTAACACATAACATGCTCCTATGCACCCACCATCCGCTATCAACACTCCCCTCTCTGTGACAATAGGATCTTCAACCCGCACCCACTGTCACAATTTGAAAACAGCGTGAATGTGTGGGGCTCCGTCCACATGGCTGCGTCACTATTTCACAGTTTCCTCTGAATGATTGGACTACAAGTACCATCATCCGTTGCGACTGATGGCTTGTAGTTCTCAGTGAAC